ATGTTACAAAGTACCTAAAATTGTCACTATCTTCACTACTTATTACAAAGCAGATCAAGCTGTTGGTGGTGTGCATGCAATTAATGGGAGTTTGACCACCAAAATTGCGTGTTGCATTTGGAGTTAAATTTGGGTTAGTGTCAGTGACTTAAGTCCACAAGATCAGATGACCCCTACACTTGGAACCTAGAAGAAGGGTAGGGGCCCTTGAGGTTGAGGACCAAATTTCATTCTGGTAGCTATAGCCACCCAACAATTTTACATTATCCCGGTTTCCACGTGAAGAAAATCACGCACTCCACATCCTTTGTCGCTTCACCCCTTTGGAATCTACATCCAAAACTGGGGTGTTAATTTGCAGCATGTGCAAATCAAATAAAACACTGATACAAGCAAATTTATGTAATTTTTGCAGTGATTGAGTCGTGGAAAATAATACTTAAAATAAGCATTTTGTGTAGTTGGGTTTGTTATTTTTTTTATTTCTCCGACTTTATTTAAAATTTAGTGTGTTATATCCACTAATTAATTAGTTACATGATGGACTATATATGTATCTTTATCAACTATTTAGCTCTCAGTAAGTCCGTATCATATTGATATAAGTAGCTCTATCCCTATATCTTGTTAGTATTTTAACCCTTCACTAGTAAAAAAATGGTAATTTACGTCACAGTATTCTCGTCGGACAAAGAAAAATCCAATATTAAAAAAACACGGTGATATTTTTATAATTATAATCAAGTTTTTTACGTCAGACCTCATAAGAGCCGACGTAAAAAAGAAAATCTACGTCGGATATAGCTTGTGTCCGACGTAAATTTTCTAATTTACGTCGGTCCCTACGAGGTCCGACGTAAAATATTTACAAATTTTAAATATTTCACGCACGTCAATATTTAAACAAGAGAGTTTTGAGTGTATGTGCAATTTGAGTCTTCTGAGTTAAGATTTCGTTTGAGTGTATTGCATCTGAGTGTACGTTTGTGTGTTTGGGTGGTTCTTGAGTTTTTGACCGATTGCATTGGGTTCGCGTTTAAGGTTAGTTTGAAAAATTCTTTCTTAATATATTAGCTAATATGTTGAAAATAAATGTATGTATTGATCTATTAATATATTAGTTAATATTATCCTCTTCTTCACGTTTGGATGGATCATCGTTTGTTAATATATTAGTTAATACTAAGTAGAAAATTCTTCGTCTTTGGGTGGATCTCCAAGCAGAATGGCCCGTTCTGCTTACACAGGTTATTTTTTTTTTTGTTTACAACTTTTTTACGTCGGCTCTTATGAATGTTCGACGTAAATTTACGTCGACTATCACAATCGATGTAAATTTACGTCTCCCGCATTTACGTCGGACCTTTTTCTGATGTAAAAAACTTAAAATAACTGACGTAAATTACCCTTTTTATACTAGTACTTGAAAGAAAAAAATGGAGACAAAAAATTTTTTAGTCCAAAATACAAGTGCATGTAAAGTAGATTTTATAAAAGCTTCTACTTTATTAGGTCTTTATTTTTGTCCACTACTCAATTTAAGGCAGATATTTTTTATGGACAGCTGATATTTTTCTCGTGTAGACTAAAACGTGTGGAACTTGCTACTATTTGAGATCAAAATATCTTTGTGAACTTTATGAACTTATTTCTACAAGAATTAATTAATGTTGAACTCCATCTTTTATAGGCTATAAGCTACCTTGTTTACATGCTCTCATGAGAAAAGCTAAACACATTAACATTTCTAAGTTCTAACTCCCTTCCATATCGGCTCTACTGTCATTTTTGTAATTGATATATTATTTTTTACAATAAAACATGAGATAAAATTCGTATGTAACAAAAACCTATATATACGCACACTCTCAATGACCATGTTGTTTATAAAGGAGTATTATAATTTATATAACTCTTATATTTGATTATCTAGTTCTTTTTCCCCCATGACCATGATATGTTTTCCGAGTCTTTTGAACAAGAAGAGGTACCTTGCCTGTGCGAATGATATTATCATGTGCCCTACGTATTGATAGAAAGATTAATCAGTGATGATATGATTGTTTAGTGTTTAGGATGAAGAATGATTAGGTAGCTTGGTTTGTAGGGCTATGGGAAAACACTTTTAAATTGACCAATTGGGGATAGGACATCTATTCCTTGAAGGCGATTGGAGGATAAGAAGGTATGAATGACGTGGCAAGGTAGGATTGGGGGATCTAGGATCTTAATCCTATGAGGTGTGGTGGAACCCAGCAGCTTACGACGTGGCGGATCTTCGACCTAGTTTAGCTGTGAGGTTACGGTTACCCAACTCCCTGTCTCACGCTGTCTCAGCCACTCCCTCTCACCCACTCCTATAGGATTCAATCAACAGAAAATAAATGATGAAAAACCAAAACAGAAATATACAAAAATATAGAAAATAGGATAAAAACAAAAACTGATTCATGAGAGAAATATTATAAAAAAAATATGGAGTAGAGTCAATTATTTTATAGATAATTTTAAATAAATATATTATTGTTTTTTAAAAATAAATAAATATCATATATATAAATAAACTTATTTTAAAATATAAATGAAAATTGTTTTTTATTATTATATTTGTTTATTGTTATTATTACTTTATTATATATATTATAAATAAAAATTATATTCATTAATTATTATTTCTAATATAGTATTTATTTGTTTATTTATTTATTTATTATTATTATTATTATTACCAATAGTAAAAAAGATACTTTGTGCCTCCATAAAAAATAAATAAGATAAATTAGTGCTTATACAACAAAAAAAAGCGAGTTATTAATATTTTTAAAGAGGACAGTTATTTTTTGTAAATATATTTTTCTATTTTATTCATAAATATAAATCAATGAAAAAATAAAATATTAGAAGATTTTAATTGTCTTTGAGAAACTTAAAAAAATTTATTATATATATTAAAAAATATTTCCTTTATTTATTGTTATAAAAATAATTTCACAATATCATCACATTTTTCCTCATTTTATAAGGAAAGATTTTTTTGGTGTAATCTCACAATAATATTCTCTACTTCTCCTCAATTCTCTTTTATTAAGAAATAATACTCTTTTTAAAAAAAAAAATTACACACTTCTCCTTTTCTCCCCAACTGTTGTGTTCTGTTTTCGCAACATTCATTTCACGTTCCCTCCCCTACCCAACCCTGTCCTTTTGCGACTCAGTCATTACTTGTTACACGTTTGCAACTTGCATGGATGATTAGAATGCAACAATGACAAAACTTCAATTTACATATATACAAAGGTTTTCACTAAAGATTATTGACATTAATTTTAATTTTAATTTTAAATAAACACTAAAAACATTTAACAAATTGCATTCGAGTTTTGTCTAAAATTAAAAAAGAAGTGTCTTAAGTATTTTTGTCTCTGTTCTAATTAAAATTTTATTATGCTAAATAGCACTGATTTTTTGGGTGTAAATTACGAAAATAAAATTTAAAATTTTAATTAAGAATAACATCACAATTATTTGAGATGTTACAGACTTACAGTTAATTAAAAATTATCAGTATAACTAATATTTTTCTTATCAGCTATAACTAATAATCTTAATAAAATTAAATTATATTTTTAACCTTTTATCTTATTTCTTATACTCATTTTAGTTCTTTATTTGTTAAAATATTTATTTTAATCATTTATTTTTTTATATTTAAATCAATTTGACTTATTTAAAAATAATCATATTTTTAATTTTGCGGCATGATTTTGAATAAATTTTTAATTGATTCAAGACATAAAATTTATAATGTTAGATTCACTTATATGAAAATTAAAAATTAAATTAATGATCGAATTCAAAAAGATTATAAATATAGAAAAAATTATGTGAAAAATATATTTCATAAACAACTAAAAATAATATAAAATTAAATTGTTTAAATTTTCAATTATTTTTAAAAAAAATTTATGTGATTGTTTATCATATTTATGCCAATTTTTTTTTTATTTAAATTGCATTTGCACTCAATAATTTTTATGTAATTGAATCTTACAATACGAATATTAAATCTTAAATTAATTAAAAAATAATTTAAAATTAAATCTTAAAAATAAAAATTATTATTATTTTAAAAGATCAAATAGACTTAAAATTAAGAAATAAATAATTAAAATAAATATTTTAAAAATAAAAACTAAAATAAAATATTTAAAAATAAAATAAATAACCAAAATATAATTTAACCTCTTAATAATCAACGAGGCCAATTACACATGTATTTGACTACTTTTTAAAGTTTTTAACTTGTTATCACTTTATTCTGTTAAAACAAAATTTAATCACTTTATTTTAGCTATTTTTATCCCCTTTTTCATATCCACACTCTTTAAAATTCTGTCATAGTTGATAGTGCCACCGCTTAATTATCACATTTATTATGAAGGGATGTATATTCTAAATAATTAATAAGCATTAATTCAAGGGATCGATATAAAGTGATGCGGTCACCAAAAAATTGAAAATAGCTGAAAATGACAATTCTTCAAGTAATGGATACGGTTGTCCGTCATGGTAAACGAAAAAACATACCTCCCCAAAAAACACGCTTATACATACACACAGATGCATATCACAAAATCAATGAAGACGAGGGGGAAAAAGATAAGATACAAATTTGGATATAAAAGTAACTTTTTTATTTTAATGTCTCTGCTAAGAAAAAGGTAGAGTTCGTGTACATGTATGTAAATTAAGGTCACATCATTCAGCTGGTTCAAATACAGCCAATGGGAACTCGTTGTCTGCACTATGGATAGCAGATGAAAAAGGACAATACGCAGGTGAAAATGACTTGTAAAAAGAAACCGCCTCACAGAAAAGATAACAAAAGTAAAGATACCACTCCAATTCACATCACAAACTTGGACCACAATCTCAAACTCTCAAGTTCATCCAATGAAGATTAAATCATAATAACAAATTGATGCTACAGTGTTCAAAATTCCTTTATAATAGCCCCCACCATGGAACCTATTCTTTATCCCAATCTCATCAGTTCCATTCTCTTTGCCTATAGTTCGCTAGTTTCTGTACGTCCCATTCCCTAAACCAAACCACCCACAGGCAATGGCCACTACTCCCAATAATAGACTCTCTCTTGCCATGGAGAGAACTGGCCAATGGTACACAACACACTCAACTAATTCCATTTTCAAATCCATGCACCATGCATGCATGCACATGCTTACTATACTCTCCAATCAATCTCTATAATAACCAATTTCTTGCATTTTTTTGCAGGGTTTTCTCTCAAGACATACCAAGTGATGTTATAGTTGAAGTTGGAGAAGCCACTTTTTCCCTCCACAAGGTGAGTATTATGAATCAAGTGGCATGTTGTAATTATTTGTTACTCCTACCTAATATGTGGTTACTAGCTCATGCATGTGACTGAAAAAGGGTTTTGTTTTGAATATGGTGGGTGCAGTTCATGCTCGTGGCGAAGAGCAACTACATAAGAAAACTGATACTGGAATCAGAAGAGAGCGATCTCACCAGAATCGACCTCTCCAACATACCAGGAGGCCCCACAATCTTCGAGAAAACCGCGAAATTCTGTTATGGCGTCAACTTCGAGATAACGGTCCACAACGTCGCCGTTTTGCGTTGCGCCGCGGAGTTCCTCCAGATGACCGACCAGTACTGCGAAAACAACCTCGCCGGCAGGACGGAGGAGTTTCTCACGCAGGTCGCGTTCTTCACGCTCACCGGCGCCGTCACCGTCCTCAAGTCGTGCCGCCACCACCTCCCCTACTCCGACGACATCAACCTCTTGAAACGCTGCGTCGAGGCCGTCAGCGCCAAGGCCTGCAGCGAGGCGAATTTCCCCAGCCGCTCGCCGCCGAACTGGTGGACGGAGGAGCTCGCCGTCCTCGACATCGATTTCTTTTCGAGAGTCATCGCCGCCATGATGCAGCGCGGCGCGAAGGCTCTCACCGTCGCAGCCGCGCTCATCGCCTACACGGAGCGAGCGCTCCGTGACCTAGTCCGCGACCACACCGGAAACGGAATCCGGTCGTCAGATCCCGGCGACTCCGATTCCAGATCCAAACAAAAAAAGCTTCTGGAGTCGATCGTAGACCTCTTCCCGGCGGAGAAAGCCGCGTTCCCGATCCACTTCCTCTGCTGCCTCCTCCGCTGCGCGATCTACCTCCGCGCCTCCGCCGCCTGCAAGAGCGAACTCGAGAAGCGAATCTCCGCCATCCTCGAGCACGTGACCGTGGACAACCTCCTCGTGCTCTCGTTCACCTACGACGGCGAGAGACTCTTCGATCTGGAAAGCGTCCGAAGAATCATCTCAGGATTCGTGGAGAAAGAGAAAAGCAACGCGGTCTTCGTCCCCGGCGAAACCTCACCGAGCTCGACCGCGATGCAGCGCGTGGCGAAAACCGTCGACGCTTACCTCGCCGAGATCGCCGCGTACGGCGATCTCGGCATCTCGAAGTTCAACGGCATCGCCATCTTGATTCCTAAAAACGCGCGTAAGGTCGACGACGATATATATCGTGCCGTGGATATCTATCTGAAGGTAATGGTTACTCCTGGACTTGAAATTGAAATGGATAAAACGACAGCGTTTAATCAGCGTTTACCGTGTTTGTTTTTTGCAGGCGCATCCGAATCTTGACGAGATAGAGAGAGAGAAGGTGTGCAGCGTGATGGAGCCGTTGAAGCTGTCGTACGAGGCGCGTGTGCACGCGTCGCAGAACAAGCGATTGCCGGTGCAGATTGTGCTGCACGCGCTTTACTACGACCAGCTGCGGCTGAGGAGCGGGGCGGAGGAGCGTGAGGCGGCGCCGGAGAAGAATGAGCTTCAGATGGACGTGTCGTTGGTGAGGGAGAACGAGGAGCTGAGGACCGAGTTGATGAAGATGAAGTTGTTCATTTCGGATTTGCAGAAGAATAACGGTACAAGTGCGAATGCGAATCCTCAGGGGAATGGAACGACGTCGTCTGGTGCAGCCGCTAAGAAGACCACGTTCTTCTCTTCCGTGTCCAAGACGCTGGGGAAGTTGAACCCATTTAGAAACGGCTCCAAGGATACGACCCATTTGGAAGATGGGCACGTGGATTTGACCAAGCCCAGAAGGAGAAGGTTCTCTGTGTCTTAGATTTTACTCAAACTTGCTATGCACTGTTCTTTGTGATTTTTCTTTTCTTGTTCTTTTAGTGTTTGCGATTTATGTTTTCTACGATTAGAATTCATATGGTTTCCGAGGGTACGTTTCTTCAGGAATCATGCATCATGGTCCATGGATCATGGATCATGGATCATGGATCATGGATCATGCCAATATTCATGACAAGTCCTACCTTGTTTCTCTTCTCTATTCTAAATCTCGCCAACTTCTCATCATATTGTCTTAATTAATTAATTGTTTAATATACTATGTATATAATATTAAGGAAAATTACAATTTGCAGTCGTTTTATACCGTTTTTTTTCTTTCTATATTACTTGTATTCTGGTACTTTGGAGGAAATATGAAAGAAAGAGATTTAACGAGTATAGAAGAAATTAATGTTTTGTTCGAGGGTACGTGATACTAATATTCAAAGTATATACTATATATAGTGCAAAAAAATTTGTACATCCTACCTTTTAGGACACCTAATTAAGAGCTATCTCACCTAAATTTTTCCTTCTTCTAACACTCATATTCGTTGTTAAATATAAGCTTTTAGTGTTCAAATCATTTTAATATTATATTTATTTTGATCTAGAAAACATATAAGAGATATCTTAGCAATTGTCTAAATGTAAAACATTCCAAAGATGTATTTTATGTGTTTTTTTTCTTGTCATAGAGTGAAAGCTTTATACTCAATTATTACGCATTCATGTGTCGCGAGATTTCTGAAATTTTGTGGGAAGTTGCTTTAATGGTAGATACCATATTTTAGTGCTCAATCAGAGTCATAAATGTCTAGAATTTGCATTAGATATAGGTTTATAGTTGGGTTGACACTAAGCGTATGTTTGCATTCGTGTTTGAAACGTGAAAAATCAAGTTTAACTGAAAGTAATGAATAATAACTTTCACGTTAAACGTGATTTTTCACGTTTTAGATGCGAATGCAAGCATACGCTAAGACCCCTGTAGGTGAGGGTGTGATGTCGAGTGACTTGATGAAACGTTAGGTCGTTGGCGAGATATCCCCTACAAGTGGAGCGTGATATAATGTGACTCGATGAAATCATAAAAGGTGTAGATACTAAACTTAATAAACTCATGTGACTCGATGAATCATAAAAGGTGTAGATACTAAGCTTAATAAACTCTTAAAAAAATGTTGGGAAGATATATATACTTTTCCACCAACCCCAAACATAAAAAGTCATAAGGGTTGAGTTTAAACATACTCTTGACAAAATGCTAGGAGGTACTTAAGAGAAATAAGTCATACAAATTAACTTTGTAAGAGCCACCTACCAATTTTTATTATATGAATATTTATCATTTTTTTTCTCTAAATCTATTTTCAATGTGGATGTATTTATCTGTTAAGGATGTTGAATAACTCTTGAAGGTAACATTGATATATAGACACTTCAAAATTGTAAACACTTATTTGAAATTTATCACTTTTTCTTATCTCTCTTTCTCACCACATCATATCACAAACACAAAGGTTTCCAAACTAAAATTAATTATTATGTTTCACAAAACTTATCCTAACATAATCAAATAATTTAACTCCAAATCTGTCTTTTAAGATGGAGAAAAGATATTTTTATGTTTATGTCTCCTAACAAGAGGACCATGTGTTTTTAACTTCAAATATATTATATACATATAATAATTTGTACAATATCAATTAATATATATATTATATATATAT